TAAATTGACTTATACTAAAATGAATTATTGTAGACATTTGAGAACAGCGAAAAAAACTTGTGAGTAGCATTCAACCTTAAAATGCTTAGACAATAATGCTAAGATACAAACAATCTTGTCTATGTTACACAAAGTCAATAGAATTTAAAACCGAGAATATAAAAATGTCTGTAACAGAGCTCTAAGACACTAAAGAATCCGCTCTTTTTCTTTTTGAAAATTATAAAATTCACACGTTTCACATCAAATATGTTATTGTTGTTTTCGAACCCCCTATTCAAAAGTGCTGGCTACGGGCCTGACAACATTTGGAAAGGTATCACAGGGATCCATATTGAGTTACCAGGCTAAATACAGAGAAAGCTCAATACCAAGAAATCCCCCACGATGCCACTATACACATGTACATTTCCACCATTGCCATTGAAGGATCCTCCACCCTATTTTATAATAATAATAACAAAGAAGAACAACAATGGTTGGAATCGCTCAGATGCGACAAAGAAAAGTTTCAAAGATTGAAATGGAGACAAGACAGAATGCAGCAAGCGAGAAATGGTTTTCTTACAGAAAACCGGAATTAACTGCTTCAAATTTTCATGATATATGTATCAGGAAAATAAACATCCTAACCTGTGTAATGGACTGTATGAAAAGCACATGTTTATAAGAAAGTACACTCAACATAGGAACATATAGAAAGTGTAGCATTAGCTAAGTGTGCTAAATACATGAATGATAGTGTCAACTATGTCTCACTTCATTAGTTTGGTCGTGTTCAAAACCCAGCATACACCGGATTCCAAAGTCATTGATAGAAATGCAGCTGAAAGAAGGATGTCACACCATTAGATGCTTGTCTTGACCCACTTTTCTGTTGCTACAATGACAAAGGAAAGCCTCGGCTGAAAATGGAACATAAATACTATGAAATACTACAAGATTTCCATTTAATTTTTTATTATTGCAAATTTGTAACATTTTATTGATTTCTCTTTGTCATTTTTTTATTTACAACTACAACATTCATTGACATTTTCACTATTATTATTTATTTACAATTGTGTACCATTATTATCTCAGCATTTTACTTCATACTTGTTTACTGACCTGTTTTAATTTGCAATTTAGTGTTAATTCTATTAGCAATTTCCATGTACACTTCTGATTGATAATACATTTATTATATATTTCGAGCATTGACACTTTTTAGCAAAGGTTTCTTAGTCTGGTGGCGTATTTGAATACTATCCACATATCTTTGACTCGACACTTTGTTGTAAACCGTGCTGGCTAGACGATTTTCAGTGTTAAAATTGGGCAGAATCAAAGGTAAGATCGATCTCTTTGCGTGGTGGTGGGGGGTAATCAATTCCATAAACCATACTTCAAAAGCTGTCATTTTTATACAGAAAGGGTTTTATTACAGCATATGGTATTTATACAAATATTATGAATGTATTTACCAAAACAATATGCGTCTTCAGAATCCCCTAAACAATACACCTGTTATGCACTTATGATCAGAAACTGACCACATTTCATTCGCAATGTCTTTCGACATGAATACGCTCGGCTGCTATTATTTGCGTCCAATCACTTCCTCTGCTGTCATCTGATCACACTTTTCAAGAAAAGGTAGAATATTTAGTGAGACTCCTTTTGTTTTAACAGATTAACAATTGTAAATCCGTTATCATAAGGCATGTCGAACAAACCTGATCTGCAAACTATTTCTCTGTCAGAGATTGACCCAGTATATAATGCAAAGGTGATGGCTCCACTAGGTGCAATACCAATAAGACCCTCAAGAGTTACATGGTGTTTGTAATTGAAGAACAATTATATGTAACATTGAAAAACTTGGCATTTCAACCCTGACACAGGATTACTAGGATACTTGGACTTGAAGTATGATGCTGGTATACTATTCACAACACTTTCCAAATGTTCTAATGCCCTAATTTCAATTTATGGCAGGTCATCTGGGTGCTAAGAAGACTACAGATAGAATAGCAACTCAGTTTAATTGGCCTGGTATGATGCTATTAGATAATGCAGGTCATGTGATATATGTCAGAAGACCACTCATAGGGGTCGTGTTAGCAAGGTACCATTAAGCAATATGCATCTGATTGATATTCCATTTCAAATGATAGCTATGAATCTGTTTAGTTCAATCAGTCCAGCGACTGAGAGAGGTCATATGTACCCTGTAACTGTTGTAGACTATGCTTCACGGTACTCTGAAGCTGTAGTGTTAAAAGAAAATTACTTCAGAGATGGTTGCTAATGGATTAGACAGTATATATTGGTTGGTGTACCTAAGAAGTTTTAAATGATTTAGGGACACAGTTTATATCTGACATTATGAAAGAAGGAGTGTTGTCTATTAAAGAATTAGTATCTACTCCATACCACTCAGCATGTAATGGTTTGGTTTTAGCAGATTAACACTACTTTGAAAGTATGTTGAAACGCATGTCAA